TTTTAAGAAGTATATCAACAAATGAGCCCTGTCCTAGAGCAATAGCCTCATTGTCCTAGGTCTGCTATTATTTGTATAATCTTGAGCTAATATCTTTCCCTCTCTGGACCTCAGTTCCCTCATCTGCAAAATGAAAGGGCTAGATTAGCTAGGTTTCTAAGACCTCTTCCAACTACAACAGTTTATGATTCCATGGTTCAGTGGTTACTAGATTGAAACCTTAGGTTTGTTAAATGCTGCCTTTCTAAAAATACTACATTGAGGCATGAACTAATACAACTGTGCATTAGTTAATGGAGAGTTAGTGAATAAACAGCTTTGTGGAATGAACATTAGATTTAACAGCAGAACAATGAGGTTCTAATATGGGCACTGCTATTTATTACCTATGTGACCTTGGTTAAGATATTTCTCTTCTCTGGACCTCTGTTTCTTCATCTATAAAATGAGAGTATTGTTTTTGCTGTTTTCTATGAACCTTTCAAATTCTAAAACCTTATAGTCACTCTTTCCTTGCCTAAGACAAATATTTAATCACATTGCTCAAACTCCCAGGTTAACCAAGGTTTTACAACATTGACTTCAGATCAATTCTATTCCTCAGTTCTTAATGCAGAAACTTGAGCACTTAAGTGCAACATTCTCCTGATTTGTGAAATTCCCTTGGTAATTAATGCACCTTCCCTTTTGTGTCTCTTTGAATGTGAGGATGGCAAGTAATCTCTAGTATATGTTTAACACACTCCATTTCATAGAGTTACTTCTTTTTTTACTGCCTCATCCCAAATCTCAAAAATCATAGTCTGTGTAAATGGTTTTGTAACCTTCTTCTACAGACAAATCAATTCTTCCTCATTTCTCCACTTCCCCTCTCCCCTTTCTTCCCCTTTATCCTTTTCTTTCACCTTTCCTTTCCCTGCCCTACCTTACCCTACCTGGGAACCTATTGGTGTTCATCTGGTGTTCACTGGTGTTCACCACCTCGTCATCCTTCAATTGCTTAGTAAACAAGTTTGTATACTTTTTCTGACAGCTCGTCTTTGCATTTTCCTTGGGCTTCTAAAAGACTCCTCATGATCTAGTAGATTTGCAGTCTCATGTGCAATCATCTTTTTCTTTATCACACTATGTTATGAAAATTTGTTTTATTCCATAAATTAAAAGTAAAATAAATTTAAAAACAAAATAAAAACAACAAATTTTTAAAATTAAAAAAATAAGTCCTCATGCTTCTCTTCATTCTCCTCCCTTTTCCTCCTCTTCCCCTTCCTTTACCCTCATCCTCTTTCTCTTTCTCTACTTTTCTTCTTCTGTTTCCCCCCTTTTCTTTCTTTCTCCCTTCTCCTCTTCCTCTTTACCTCCTCTTCCCCTCCTTTTTTTCTTCTCTTCCTCTCTTTCCCCACACTATGGCCAAGCAGAGCAGGAAAATATTTGGAAAACTTTGCCCAGTCTTTTCATTCCTAGTAATTTAAATCAACCAGTTGAGATATAGGAGAAATTCTAGGAAAAGAATAGGTAAGCAAAATATTTTCTTTCCCACTGAAGATAATCTACTGCAAAAAGTTGATAACAATATTAAACCTTTACCAATGGCCATTACAGTAAATGGCCAACTACCCAACTTGCAAGGGAACAGTTCATTTCCTCAAGCCTTTTTAAAAATTTATTTTATTTTTAATTTATGGAATAAAACAAATGTTGCTATAACATAGTACAATAAAAAATGATTGCACATGAAACTGCAAATCTACTACGCACAACTTGCTATTTGCAGGATTCCTGAGGGCTCTGAGAAGCCAAGTGAATGAAGATAAGCAATAGAGAGGATGTGGAAAGGAAATGCATTATGCTCAGTCAAGGCAGGCAGATGGGCTGGGCTGAGAAGAAATGGAACTTATCAAAAATGATTTTAAAACAGCCGATTAGAAAGAGTCTATACCTTTTAGAATTTCACTGCATGAGAAGGAGCTGAAGGGGTGGCTCGTGCTGTTCTGTTCTCACATGTTGGGTCAGTGTCTGAAAACAGGGTGTGTTAAAGGAGAGCAGGATAAGAGATCACACCCTCTGGGACCAGGAAAGCCCCTGGAACAGCTTCTCTGGAGAAATGACCCCAAACTCTGCTTGGCTGACTCTGGAGAAGCAGGGGAGAGAAGGGGTAAGCACATGAACTTATGATGAGGAAAGCCCCCTCAGCCCAGGACTGTTGTTTCTCTCTGGACTTTATAGAATTCCATGGGAACCAAAAGTGAATCTCCGTTCAGTTATACACGAGGAGTTCTCATTCTTTCCAATAGCAAGCTGGGGTTGAAAGAGCATCACAGCCCTTAGAGTAGGCACCTAGGTCTAATCCTGGCTTCACTTTCCAGCTATTTGATTTAGGTCAAATTTCTTTATCTTTTGACCCAAAGTGGTCAAGTGAAGCAGTGAAGAAACAAGACCCTGTACCAGGCACATAGTATCACAGAAGAATATGTATACATACATACAAACATACATACATACATACATACATATATATACACATACATACATATACACACACATACACATACACACACACACACACACACATATATATATATATATATATATATAATAGATGTTATGAAGGTAAAATCAACAGGTCTTGGAAACAGATTGCATAGAGGTAGTGAGAGAGAGTGAGGAGTTGAGGATGACACCCAGATTATTGAGCCTGGGGGACTAGGAGGATTGTGGTGTCCACTGCAGCAATAAGTAAGTTAGGAAGAAGGGAGGGTTTGGAGAAAAAGATAGTAAGTTTTTAGAGATGTTGAGCTTAAGATGTCTATGGAATATCCAGTTCAAGATGCCAAATAGGCAGTTGAAGATGTAAGACTAGAGGTCAGGAAAGAGCTTAGGACTAGACAAATAGATGTGAGAATTATTCACATAGGGATGATAATTGAATCTAGGGGAGCTGAAGAGATCACCAAGCAAAATAATATAGAGGAAAAAGAGAAGAAGGGCCAGGAGAGAGCCTTGGGGGATGCTCATAATTAGCAGGATGAAGCTCCAGCAAAGGAGACTGGGGAGTAGCCAGATAGATAGGAGAAGATCCAGGAAAACAAAGTGTTATGAAAGCCTAGAAAAAAGAGACTAGCAGGGAAAAGAAGGTAATTAGTAGTGCTGAAAGCTGCAGAGAGGACAAGAAGGATTAGGATTGAGAAAAGGCAATTAGATTTGTTATTTAAGAGGTAGATGGAGAAAGCAGTTTCAGTTGAATCATGAGGCCAGAAGCAAGACTTCAGATGATAAGAGAATGAGAGGAGAGGGAAAGGGAAAGGAAGCTCCTATAATAGATACAAGTTCACTTTCTGTAGACTCACTGTAAACATCTTTGGTACAATTCCAATAACAGACATGATGACAAGGATGAACTGTATCTCATCCTCTTTGCACATTGTTTTGACTTTTTTCTTCTAAGTTTCCTATACTTTTTAAAGTTTTTCATCATACATAGTTTGTATACTATGAACGTTGTTATTATTATCAACATTTTGTTCTTATTATCATTATTATGTTAACTGATGTCCCCTCTCTATGGCTGCTATTCCTCAAGCTAGGGCATTTTATCCTTATTTCCACGTCTACAGCCTAGAACTTGGGTTTGTAGGTAATCTATTCTCAGCAATTGTACTATGCCTCCATCCCAAATAGCCATTAGAATTTGCGAATGTTTGAGGGATGAGGCTATGTCTCATTACCTATATCTATTACCAGTCTTTTGCTGCACCTTCCACCCCCTTGCCACATAACCCTGGCCTCCATAGGTCTACCTTCAGACCTGCTGCTCTCAGATCTTCCCTCTCTTCTCTCCCCCACCCCTACTTCCCCTCCTCCCCCTCCTCCTTCTCTCTCTCTCTCTCTCCATCTATCCCCCCTTCTCTCCCCCCCATACAGGAAAGGGGCCAACATTACAATGAAGATCAATAGAGATCTCCCTCTATAGGCCAAGCACAAAAATCTATTTTGATTCATATATGCCAAAACCTATAAACTTATTCCCAGTGAGAACACCTAAGGAGTTGGCTTCAACCTCAACAAGGCACTACTGGGACATGTCTCGGCAGATATCTCCCTTCCTCTCAATGACATTGCCAATGGGCATGTCTACCTCTTAGATAAGCAGATATAGTCAGTTAAGAAAGGCTCACTGTCCTATAAACTCACCAAATTGATCAATATATTTTCCCCTGATTAGCTAGTCCTCTACATTTTTAAACAGGCATGATCTTATTTTAATTTAATTTAATTTAGGTGCCTTTTTAGGGCAAGATGCTGACTTTTCACATGTGAGAAGTTTTGCTATGAAAAGTGAAGAAACCAAGCCATTAGGGGGGGAAGAAAAGGATTAAATCAAAGTCTGAAGCATTATCATATTTATATGTGAACTTTTTAGTTGCTGAAAGGAGCAGAAAAAGAATGTTGAGGCACACTCAAAAATGTGAGGGCAGCCACAAGAGGACCTATTTGAGAGCAAAGAAATAACTAAAGCCATAGGGCATTGTGCTTCTTTAGGTCTTTTTCATTTGACTGTTTTTATAGAGTGTGAGAGGTACAAACTCACAAAATAGTAACTCAAATAGCTGTTTGGAGAATTTTTCAGTCATGTCAAACACTTTATGATTCCATTTGGAGTTTTCTCAATAAAGATACTGGAATAATTTGTCATTTCCTTCTCTAGCTTATTATGACAGGTGAGGAAACTGAGGGAAACAGGGTTAAGTGACTTGCTCAATGTCACACAGCTAGTCAGTAACATACAGCTAATGTCTGACGCCAGATTTGAACTCAGGAAGGTGGGTCTCCTTGACTCCAGGCCCAGCACTCTATCTAGTGTGCCACCCAGCTGTCCTGTTTGGAGAATACAGGAAGATTAAATAAGGATTGATGGCTACTTAACTAATAGAAAGTTGGATTTCTTGAGTCTCAGGTCATAAGGGAAAGAAGAATCATTGACAATTAGGAGGCTCTGGTTTGAGCCATTAAAGGCAGTGAAGAAATCACCAGAACAGTAAGAGGAACAGTCAAGAAGTCAACAGGAAATATTAAAAAGACATCAGAAGGAGCAGACAGTTGAAAGACAGAAAGGCTTCAGCTGTTGTAATTTGGAGAGTGCTAATTAGAAGAGAAACATCTTCCTGCATGGGCTGAAGAAAAGCCTGAGAGCATGCTGAGGAAAGGGACACAGACTTGCTGCAGTTTCAGGTATTGTTGTTCAGAGCTAACTATTAATTGTTGGGAAGAAATGAAGCCAACTCAAGAGCACTTCATATTTCTATTTATTTATTTATTTGTTTGTTTATTTATATTTTATTTTTATTTATTTATTTATTCTCTTTATTCAAAGAAATGCCAAGTAAACAATCAAACAACTACTTTATAAAGCTACGAAAGATTATAATTAAGTTTACTTGGAGGAATGATTAAAAATATCAAGGGAAATAGTGAAAAAAAAGATGGGGGGAATCAAGGAAGCCTCTAAGTGCCAGATCTCATACTACACTACAAATCACTAATTATCAACATGATTTGGTATTGCTTAAATATAAAGGGGTCGATCAGTGACAGAGATTACTTACTTAATATATGGAATCAAAGGAACCTATTTTCCTAATGTTTGATAAAACCAAAGGCCCCAAATATTGGGTTAAATACTCACTATTTGGCAAAATCTGGCTGGAAAACTTGAAAACAGAAATGAGGTTTAAACTAACATCTAGCACCATAGATCAAGGTAAGCCAGGAATGGATATATGACAGAGACATCAAAGAATAATTTACCTTTTATACTGATGGTGAGGGAAAGAGTTCATGAACAAATAAAAGATAGAGAGGTTAACAGGATATAACATGATTTAAAAAAAATTTTTAAATGTGTTTTTAAAACTTTGGGTTCCAAATTTTCTCCCTTCCTCCCTCCCCACCCACCTTCATTGAAAAGGCAAGCAACTCAATATAGGTTATACATGTGTAGTCATGCAAAACACTTCATGTTGTGAAAAACTAAGTATATTTAACTTCATCTTGTCCTGCCCCCCATTTATTCTATTCTCTCTTTTGACCTTGTCCCTCCTCAGAAGTGTTTGCTTTTACCCCCTCCCCCAATCTGTCCTCTCCTCTATCATCCCCCTGCTCTCTTGTCCCCTTCCCCCTTTATTTTCCTGTAGGGTAATATAGATTCCCATATCCAATTGTGTATGTTATTCCTTTCTTAAGCCAAATCCTATGAGAATAAGATTCACTCATTCTCTCTCACCTTCCCTCATTTCCCCTCCATTGTAAAAGCCTTTTCTTGTCTGTTTTATGTGAGATAATTTACCCCATTCTGCCTCTCCCTTTCTCCTTTTCCCAGTATAATCCTCTCTCACTCCCTAATTTTATTTTCCAGATATCACCTCTTCATCTTCAACTCACCCTGTGTCCTCTATCTATCTATCTATCTATCTATCTATCTATCTATCCATATAATTTTTCCCTCCCACTACCCTAATACTGACAAAGGACTCATGAGTTACAAATATCATCTTTCTATGCAGGAATGTAAATAGTTCAACCTTAGTAAGTCTCCTATGATTTCTTTTTTCTGTTTACCTCTTCATGTTTCACTTGAGTCTTGTATTGGAAAGTCAAATTTTCTATTCAGCTCTGGTCTTTTCATCAAGAATACTTGAAAGTCCCCTATTTCACTGAATGACCATTTTTTACCCTGAAGGATTATACTCAGTTTTGCTGGGTAGGTGATTCTTGGTTGTAATCCTATCTCCTTTGCCCTCTGAAATATTATATTCCATGCCCTCTGGTCCCTTAATGTAGAAGCTGCTAAATCTTGTGTTATCCTAATTGTGTTTCCACAAGACTTGAATTGTTTCTTTTTGGCTGCTTGCAATATTTTCTCCTTGACTTAGGACCTCTGGAGTTTGTCTATAATATTCCTGGGAGTTTTCTTTTGGGGATCTCTTTCAGGAGGTGATCGGTGGATTCTTTCAATTTCTATTTTGCCCTCTGGTTCTAAAATATCAGGGCAGTTTTCCTTGATAATTTCTTGAAAGATGATGTCTAGGCTCTTTTTTTGATCATGGCTTTCAGATAGTTCAATAATTTTTAAATTCTCTCTCCTGGATCTATTTTACAGGTCAGTCATTTTTCCAATGAGATATTTCACATTGTTTTCTAATTTTTCATTCTTTTTGATTTGTTTTACGGTGTCTTGATTTCTCATAAAGTCACTAGCTTCCAACTGCTCCATTCGAATTTTTAAGGAAGTATTTTCTTCAGTAAGCTTTTGGATTTCCTTTTCCATCTGGCCAATTTTGCTTTTTAGGGCATTCTTCTCCTCATTGGCTTTTGGGACCTCTTTAGCCATTTGGGTTAGGCTATTTTTTAAGGTGTTAGTTTCTTCAGTATTTTTTTGGGTCTCCTTTAGCAAGCTATTGACTTGTTTTTTCATAATTTTCTTGCATCACTCTCAGTTTTTCCTCTACTTCTCTTATTTGTTTCTCAAAATGCTTTTTGAGCTCTTCCATGGCCTGGGACCAATTCATATTTTTCTTGGAGGCTTTGGATGTAGGAACTTTGACTTTGTTTTCTTCTGGTTGTAGGTTTTGATCTTCTTTGTCACCAAAAGATTCTGTAGTCTGACTCTTTTTGCGCTGCTTGCTCATGATCCCAACCAATTACTTGAGTTATAAACTCTTTGTTAAGGTAGGGGTCTGTTTCCAGTGTGGAGAGTGTACTGTCCCAAGCTTCGGGAGTTTGTACAGCTGTTTTCAGAGGTACTTCTAGGGACCTGTAAATTTTCAGTTCTTCCAAGGTGCTATGATCAAGAGCGAGGTGTTTACTCCTTTCCTGGCCTGTGCTCTGATCTATGAGCACTCTTTTCTGTCTTGGAACTGTGAGGAGGATTTCCTCTCCACAGCTACTACAAGCTCCACCACACCAGCACTCCTCCTCACCCAGAACTGTGACCCACATGCAAGCATGGGCAAAGCAAGAGAATCCTACACCAGCAAAGAGATCTCTGCAATCCCACTTTGATCAGCCACTCAATTCCCACTCAGTCTGTGGGCCAGAAACTCTGGAAGCAGGCACCACCCCGGGGTCAGGCTTGGGGACTGGGGCTGAGACCACTGCGCTTCTCTCTCTCACCGCAGACACAGACTTTTCCCACTGACCTTCTAAGTTGTCTTTGGTGTTCATGAGTTGAGAGTTCTGGAAACAGCCACAGCTGCCTGTGATTCAGTCCTCTGAGGCCTGCTCTAGGTTTCCTGCCACCTGTGCACCCAAGTCGAACTGCGCTCCTCTCCCAGCCTTGCGCAATATACCTTTCTGATCAACCATTTGGGTTGTCTTGGGCTGGAAATTTGTTTCACTTTGTCTTTTTGTGGGTTCTGCTGCTTTAGAATTTGTTTAGAGCCATTTTTATAGGTATTTGAAGGGGTTTGGGGGAGAACTCAAGCAAGTCACTGCTTTTACTCCGCCATCTTGGCTCGCAGAATATAACACGGTTAATTTTAATTATGTGAAATTGAAAAGTTTTTTTTTCCACAAACAAAATCAATGCAGATAAAATTAGAATGGAAACTGTGAAGAAAATATTTGTAGCAAGTGTCTCTGATAAATATCTCTTTCCCAAAATATGTAAGGAATTGATTCAAATTTAAAAGAACAAGAATTAGTCCTCAAATGACAAATCATTCAAGAATATAAAAGGTTTCCAAAAATACCCTATCAACAGTCATATAAAATGAGTTATAAATAGAACAATTCTTAAGATCCATCTCACAACCCTCAAACTGACAAAGATGGGAAAAAAATGGCAATTATTGGAAGGTCTGTGAAAAAATGAGCACATTATTACATTGTTGATGGACATATGAAAAGCAATTGGAAATTTAGTCTAAAAATTCACTTAATTATACATACCTTCTGATGCAGTGATAATAGTACTAGGCCAACTTCCCCCCAAAACAAAAGAGTAAAATGACCCATGTATATGAAAATACATATTTAGTTTTCTTTTGTTTGTAGTGCCTGATAACTGGAAAGTGATTGCCCATTAACTAAAAAATAGTTAAATGAGTTATGATACATAAATAGTATTTGAACACTATTATACCCTAAGAAATTATCAAAGTGATGGTTTCAGAGAAACCTATAAAGACTTTTGTGAACTGATACAGAGTTAAGTGAACAGAATCCAGAGGATAATTTACATAAATAACAAAGTATACAATAACAACTGAATTATAAAGATAAACAACTTTGAGAAACTTATGAAATATGATCAATTCAGTGATTAACAACAATTCCTTATGAAGTAGCATGTGACCCACGTCCTAATAGGGAGGCAATGGACTCAAGGTGAAGAATAAGACATACATACACACACATATACATAATATATATATATATATATAGTGTGTGTGTGTGTGTGTGTGTGTGTGTGTGTGTAAACCTCACCAAGAGTTTGTTTTCCCCTTTATTTTATAATGCACAGAGGTGGGAGTGAAATATAATACATTTCTGTTAAATAATTTTAAAAAGGTTGAGGTGTCATGGTGACTAATTTTACGTACCTGGGAGACACATTTCAGGACCTAATGTAATGCACAGTAACAACACGTGCCATTTCTCACCACTCCTCTTTCCCCTTTCTCGCACCTATTGGGGTTGCCTCCTAGGATCCTGAGAGTTTGAGTCATAGTCATGCATAGCTAATCCAACTCTGGGAACCTCAGACCTTAAGTCTGAGGGCAGATTGAGGGAGTAAGCCAGCCCAGAGAAACAGAGTGCTCTCTATGTTCAGTAAGGAGCTACCATGGCAACTTCCCAATTCATGGAAATGATTTAGGTTCTGCCAAATATAGAAATATATTCAGGAAAGACTTCTTTGGACCCTTTTGAAACTTCTAAAAAAAAAAAAGAATCTTAATAGGCAAGCCTTAAAACAACAGCAAAACCTAGGGTAAATAGGTGGGATATCACTATTTGAATAGACCATTATTCTATTTTGGAGACTCCACCTTCTTTGGTGGGTCAGCCTTCAAAATATCCCCACATAATTATGAATTTTAGATTGTGCGGTATAGGGGAAATGGCACTGAATTGAGATTCAAAAGAACTATCTTTGAATCCTACTCTTTCTGTAGCATGTGTTGTAACCTTAGGCAGGATATTTTTCCACTCTGGATTTGTTTTTTCTTCCA